GACCCCGCAGAAGCTGACTCAAAGGGGATAATGGTTCTATTTGCTTGTGGGCTTATAAATAGAGCTAGTGGCCAGCCTTGGTCACTCTCTTGGCACTTCTAACAGCTGCATACACCCTTTGAGAGCTGAGCACACCACTCCACTCACTTGCACACTTGATTTCATCATCTTGAGTGAGATTGGAGAGCCTCTAGTGCATTGCTTAGTGTTCTAGAACCTTATGGCACTAGTTGGGCGATTTGGGCTGGTGGAGTTCTTGTTACTATTGGTGTTTGCCGACATCTAGATGGACCGGTGATTGGTGGATCATCGAGCAGAGGAAGGTGATTGTCTTCAGCTTCGATCATTGTGATTGTGAGGGGTTCTTGTGCCTTCCCTGGTGGAGCGCCAAAGGCAATTCTAGTGGATTGCGCGTGGCTTGTGGATCATTATCTTGTGTTGGTTGTGCGGCACCCGGTTGTGGGTTTAGCGTGTGATGCCAATTAGCGCATGAACCTCCAAGTGAGTGAATCACCACAATGGGGACTAGCTTGCCGGCAAGCAAGTGAACCTCGGAGGAAAAATTATTGTGTCTCAATTGTCTCCTTGGTATTCGTTGATATTCATTGATTGATCACTTGCCACGGCGGTATACCTCTCTACTACTCTCTTGTATTACATTGCGCCTTTACTTGTGTAGAGCTTGTGGTAGTTGAAACTAGTTAGTGTAGCTCTTAGTTGTAGTTCTCTTGCTAGCTTGCTCACCTAGGTGTAAATTAGTGACTTAGCCTTGTTGTGATATACTAGAGATCATAGATTTTAGAATTGGGTAGGTGGCTTGCAACACAAGTGTAGTGTTAGCGTAAAATTTGCTTCACCATCTTATTTACTAATCACTTGCCTTAGTGTTGTTGTAGAATTTTTAATAGGCTATTCACCCCCCTCTAGCCATTAGGACCTTTCAGCTTTCCCCACAAGGAAAGGACCAAGTTTTCTCTACAATTTTCCTAAAAGATTCATCCTGCAGCCACCACTTTTCAAACCTAAACCTTTTTTTACCATAATACATATTATCACCCATGTCAACCAATAAGGGACTGTGATCACTAGGGATCCTATCTAAGGCTTTCACCCTAGCCAGGGGGAAAGCAACCTCTAAACCAGTAGAGAGAAAAACCCTATCAATTCTGGCCATGATCAGATTCTCCTGATTATTTGTCCAAGTAAACTTCCTGTTCCTAAGTTCTAATTCTATCAACCTCCATTTACTAACCCAATAATTAAAAAGATCTAACCACTTGAAATTAACAATGCCATTGTTCTTAACATTAATGGACCTAACTAAATTAAAATCTCCACCTATCATCATAGGTCCTTGCCAAGACCCCATGACCTTATGTAACTCATCTATAAAGGCTTGTTTTCCTTCTTCATATGGGGAGCCATAAACTACAATCAGCTTAAAGGCAAAGCCAATAACCTTATTAAATAACATAACACTGATAGAAAAAACTAAAAGCTCACCAGGAGTTAAAGTAAAGAGATTTGCATTAGCTCCTACTAAGATACCACCTGCTGAACCTCTAGTTCTCAAAGAGCACCAATTGAAAAAAGTATTACCAGTAAGGGGTCTTAACATACCATGAGAGAACTCAGATTTTTTGGTTTCAACTACTCCTACAAAATATACATGGTTCTCTCTAATTCTATTTGCTAGAGCTAGAACTCTTCCCTTTTGGCCTTGGCCTTTAATGTTCCAAAAAGACCTCTCATTTTCTAACCTTTTTCTTTTTCCTACCTACCTTAACCTCAGTCCAAACCCTCATTATTGTTATTTATATTACTAGAAAGCGACTGGGAGACTATTTGGGTATTAGGGGTGCCACCCTAATTCCCTCCTAAATCATTCACAAGCATGTTTTGACCAAAGCCCTTGCTAAGGTTGTTATTGGAAGAAATAATATCAACAGAGGTACTATCTATTTTAGCAATAGCATTTTGTTTACAGATTTTCTCAAAATTAGAAATTCTTTGCTGCCCTACTTCTAGCATGCTCTCCAGCATGGACTGAGACAAGGGACTGCCATCCCTAGAAACTACACCTATCTCAGCGGCTATATTAGCAATAGGAACTTTGTAAGTTTGTGGGGAGGTTTTTGAGCAATTACCTTGGTTACCCTCCAGATTATGCTTCTTCTTGTTATCTTGAGCCTTCTCCATCATAGTCCTTCCATCCTCCAGGGTCCTCTTGCTCTTCCTTTGAGGCAATAAAGGACCCCAAACCTGTTTTTTAGCATGTCTTGGCTTTTCTGTCTGATTCTCCTAGTCTGTTAGCCTATCTAGATCCTCTTTTGATGGTTGAGTATTCTACTCCTCCACCTCCTCTGAACTAGTTATCCCTGACTTCACTGATTCTTGGGATAGATTCATCAAGTTGAGCCCCAGAGCTCTGTCCTACTTCTGTTGTAGAAAGTATTTTCACCCACTCCACTAGTAAATGAGTTAGCTCCTCATCCTCTACCATCCCCTCTAACTACCTTGTTTAAGTCTCTGATTCTTCATCCTCGTAGTCTTCTAGTTCCATGACGTTAAGAAGATTGCCACCATTGAAGTTACTCATACTGAAAACAATAAGCTCCTTCTGAAAGTCTAAAAGTCCAAAGATCTCCTTACATCTTTACCACCCTTGCTATTCTTAGAAGAGCCCCCTGACTTGGTCTGGTCTGTCTATTTCCAAGATGATTGGCCACCCTGTTCCTTATCCTTGGAGCCCTGATTCTCCTTCTCCCCTGTCTTCTCAGAATCTTTAGAAACATCATCTAATAGATCCTCCTCCTCAAGGTCCTCTTTAGGATCTAGATCTTTAGGATCAGGATCATCATCACCTTTTCCATCATCCTTTCCAGTCGGGTCAGCAATCTGCTCCACCCCCTCTGTTAGAAAAGTAATCAAATAGCATGAACTTCCCAATTCATACACTCTTTCTCTTGGCACCTTGACTAGGTCTTTGCATTTTATCTTGATCCTTACATTGGCAAAGAAGCTTGAAAACAGTGCAGGCCAATCCACCTCAGAGAGTATTCCCAGTCTAGATGCAATGTCTTTGATTGTCCACCAGTTAGCCCATTTTGGAGGGATACCCTTGACTTGGACCCACACCTCCTCCAAATGCCCAACAGGTTCTACATCCCCATTCTAGGGCTTGAGAGATGCTAAAACATTGGTCCTTTTGAAATAGAATAAGGTTGACCGTCCAATGACTAGATCCTCCACTCTCTTTTGTGGTGGGAATCTAATAATATAATTGTACTTATCATCTTGTCTCAGCTGCCAGTCCCAATTTTCATCAAACAAATTCTTCAGGTGACCAATAATCCTTTCCTGATCAATGTCACCTTGCTCAATAGTGAGGATCCCAAAATTATCAAGGCCTCTCCAATGCCTAAACCTATTCTCTCTAGGCTCCACATCAATATGAAAGAACCCCATGCCTTTACTAGCACTCCCACAAAACTGAGCTACAGACTGATTCTTCTTCCATTCAGGACATTTGTCAACAACATGGTCTTCCTGGCTACAGATGAAGCAACACTTGGCCTTCTTGCAAGCTGTACTGTAATGACCTACTTCTCCACAGTTGTAGCAGACTACATCAAATGATTTATCCTTTGGAGCAAAGATTACCTCATCTTTCTCCTCAACCTCCATGGCCACCTTTTGTGTGTCTTCAAAGATCTGCTCAGACTTTCCCTTTCTCTACTCCTGATCAGTCCTAATCTGCTGCCTGCCTACTGGTGCATGACCCCTCCCTGCTCCCTGTCTACCCCCCGAGGTCTAGGCCCATTGAACTGCTGACCGAAGAACTGGGGCGGTGGGTGTTGCAGATGGGACTGTTGTACCTGATTTGGGTAGAACCCATACAACTGTGGTGGTGGAGGGTTGAAGAACGGCGGTGGCTGCGCCTGGTGAGGAGGGTAAGGGTGGGAGGGGAATTGGTTCCACCCCCCTCCACCCCAATCTGCCCAGTCCTCCTTCGAGTTCCTGAGGCGTGGTCCGTGCCCCCTGCCTCTGTTCACCATCTCTCCTTCACCACTTGCGCAAAGCTTTTCCTTCTCCCCTCACCAAAATTGATTCTGCAAACTTTAGCTTCTTAGGTTGAACATCTCATACATATCCGATTCCCACCTTGTAGCAGTCCCCGACTCTGAATTGCTTCTGTTCCCAGAGGTCCTTCCTCACCCGCACCAGGCTGGCTCGCACCTCCTCTGAAACCCTAGGTGGTTGGATACGGGACTCTGATTGGGGAATGAACCAGAGCTGCCCCCAAAATTCTTCTATCCCATCTTCAACCTCTGGGTATTAGATTTTGGGTAAGGGAGGATCTGACACCTGCCCGCTCCGGAAAATCCTTGGCCGAGAAGAAGCCACTTGTCCTCTTCCCAGTGCACTGCGTCTCTCACGGAAGCAGCCGCTGACATCGCGACCCCTTCTCGAGGAAAATGACTCCTCTATTGGTCCCCCTCGTCGCGGCAGAGTCCCTCTCCCCCTCACCGGACTAGAGGTTTGCCTTTCGTCGTAGACTCACTGGCGAACCTCGGTTGTGGGCTCTGACTACTCCTCTTCCCCGAGGAGCCTCGCCTCCTTGGGCACCAAATCTCCAAGCAGGGGAAGCCTCCCTGCGCCCGTTGATCGGCGAAGGGACCAGGTCGCTGGCCGGAACCGGGCTCGACGGTGGTCTCTCCACGCGCTCACTGCCCGTCGTCGGCAGGGCACGATGCCGCATTTTCGCGAAACTATAGTTTTTTTTTTGCTACATTTGAAAAGTCACCTGAAAAAAACACCCTATCTTGACACGTTACACGTAAGAAGGATGACCTCCAGCTGGCTACATGCATATAAACAGTGCCATTATCCTTGAGCTCTTACAATTAAATGAATTAATCTACACGTATCATCGACCAGCAGTTGCCCATTAATATTTCCTGCCAGAGCAGTCAGAGAGGTCGGGAAATAGCAGTTGATCAGTTACTGGCCTGATGGACTGTGGCACTTTGATCACCGGAGCCGCCAGGGTTGGGAGCTGCGGCCACCTCCTCTGCCTCGCCGGCGCCAGCCAGCTCGATCTCACCTGCAGCTGCAGGCGCCGGGCTCGGCGCACCTGACGACCAGTCACTCATGTCGTACGTGTGGTTGGACACGCTGAGCGGGCTGCCGGCTGCAATGTGCGCGACGGCCGGGGGCGGGGAGGCGCCCGCGTCGTTAGCGCTCCGATCAGCCACCGACCCGCCGCCATCCTTGTTGGTCCTGAACGTGTGCGACGAGAGGTCCCTGTCGTCGAGGAGCTTGAGGAAGATCCGGAGCCTGTTCCTCCAGGGCACGCGCGACGCCCAGATCCGCCGGCGGTTGGCCACGACGAAGATGAGCAGGTGCAGCGCGCAGCAGAGGAGGGAGGTGGCGCCGGTGATGAGGAACAGGCCCCAGAAGCTGTCGAAGCTGAGCCTCTCCGACGTGAACTGGCTGCCCTGCGCCGCGCAGCCGTCCGCGTCGCCGAACCACTTGCGCTCGATCGAGCTCATCTCGTCGCTCTCCGTGAGGTTCAAGATCGCCCGCGACAGGTCCGCCACGTACGGCGACCCCTTGGGGAACGCCTGCTCGATCGATCGTCCATGCACGACACGAGTCATTAGTTGCCGATCCAAATGCTGCACAGCATGTACATACCAAGTGATGACGATGTCTAGTGGCAGCAGGCAGGGGGCGCTTACGAAGCCGAAGCCGCCGGTCTTGTTGCTCTGGGCGATCCTGGTGAAGTTGTCGCAGTAGGACTTGAGGAAGAGCCTGAGGTAGGGCGTCTCGTCGACGATGGCGCCGATGGTGCCGTTGAGCAGCGCCTCGTGGAAGCCCTGTGTGGCCTGGTACGGCTCGAGCCTGGACTGAGGGAAGCCCGACTTGTTCATGGCCGCCCTCATGAAGGAGTTGTTCAAGATACCGACCTTGTCCGTTCCCCGCCACAGCGAGGCGAAGTCCCCGATCGCCGGCTCAAGCTGCGGCACCGTCAGCATGGACGTCAGGCTCGCCGTGTAGCTGGACTGCAGGATGAGCACCACGAACGACCACACCACCACCACCAACCTCGACAGGTTGCTCTTCAGGTTCTCCCCTGCATCCACCACCGATCCAAGCACGTCGTTACCAATGGGCAATGGCGGAACACCGCATGCAGCCAAGCAACCGGGGGAGCATTACTATGTGCAAAGACGAGGGTCGAAAAGCCGAAGTAGAGGAGGGTGCCGATCTGGTAGGACGGGGGGCCACGGAACTCCTCGTTGCTGCGGTGCTCCACGGCCCAGACGACGAAGCCGGTGAAGATGAAGAAGGCGAAGCTGACGAGCCAGAGGTCCCAGCGGAGCGGCTTGAGGAAGACCAAGGCGGCGCGCTTGCTACGCTGGTCGCGCATCGGCACCACCATGGAGATCCCCGACGACATGTACGGAAGCGTGAAGTCCACGAGCTTCGACCGGTCCGCCGTGATGGTGATGTCCGCCACCGCCGCGTCGAACTCCTGTGGACACGATGCAGCTAACTTAAGCTCAAATTGTTTCAAATCCTTGGCTCGGATACTTTGGACCTAGTACTATTTTGTATGCTCAAGCCCAACTTTTGAGTCTCGGTTTGTGATTCCATTCCAACTAGCCAGGTGAAAATTTAGTCTCTTCTGAAACATCAGCAAATTCGAATTAAGAAGAATGTAAATAGTGTTTGTTGGCTTGTAACAAACCCGAATCTATGCCAGTTGGAGTCAGGTGAACATTTTTTCCCGGTTGCCTTTTTGCCCAAAAATACTGTACCGAAGTTTTGGTTGGTCACAATTTTATTGGTGGCGTGACCACATTTGAGGTTGACCAAGTGAAATTGCAAACAAACAAAAAAAAAGGATTTTTTCTTGCGCCAAGTGCTCAAGTAGACGTGTGTTGTTTTTCTTTACGTTTGACCCTTTTACAATTCTTAAGAAAGAATCTTTTGCCATGGTTCGATAGTTCTACTGTTGACAACCGTATACTGGAGTTGTTTGGTAAATACCCATCCGTCCCTAAAATAAGTGTCGCTAAGGTCATTATAGTTTTTTTTGTCTTAAGTTGCATTTCTCTTACTTTTAAGTCTTTGACCAAGTTTATATAAAAATATATTAATGTTTAATTAGGTTTATGAAATTAATTTGATGTTATAGATGTTGTTACTTTTTTTCTACAAATTTGATCAAAGTTAAATAATTAAGCTTAATATAGAACAAAACCAAAATAATTTTTGAAACAAAGGGTAAAATAAGTTGAAACAAAGGGTACTACCTCAGTTCAGAAAAGTGTGCAACCCTACTTCTGCCCTTAGCCAATATCTAAAGTTTGATCAGATTTATAGAAAAAAAATCAATATTTCATGATAACATATTTCATGATAAATCTAATGATACTTATTTTATATCATAAATATCAATATTTTTATAAACTTGGTCAAATATAAAATGGTTTAATTCGATACTATAGTAAAATTGTATTCTTTTTTTACAGAGTGAGTAATTATTATATTAACCATACGCCAATTACCTAGCGAAGCAGTCCTAGCTAAACTCCAAAATAAAATATTGTAAGAGAAACCCTAGAATAATTGCACTTGTGTGGTAATAAAGTATGCTCACTTATACATCAGTGATAAGTACTCATATACTATAAGCTGAAACAAGTAAAGTTACGACTTTCGAGGCAGAAGTTGCTAACTGAACTATTATTATTATTATTAGGTGTCACTAAGCAGTACAGTGTCTGCTTCTCATTGACCACACAGGACCCGGTAACGATTTGATTCCCACCAGCGTCTATTTTACGACAAAATTAGGCAAATGCCATCTGGGCATGGATTCACACTTCAACCAACCGGCGTCACAGAAACTACTTACGCCGGTGCGTCATATACATGCGTAGGTGCTGCACGAATTTACTTCAATTCGTCTCTGCACACTACAAACATTTAAATTTAAATACATGTAACCCTGATTGTTTACTTTCTACACAGTACTTTAATTTCCAAACATTTTCAATATATAGTACTTCCTTTGTTTCAAACTGTAGGTCCTTTTTGGTCTTTTTAGATATACTCCCTCTGTTCCAATTTATAATATTTTTTGGCTTGACATTAAGATAAAAAATAGCATTGCATGAAGTTTGATTATGCATGGTACTTGCATTTGAAGCTAATGGTCCCTTTAGTGCTAGATGATGTGTTTGTATCTACAACGATATGACTTGATTAATCTCAAATGCTTTTTAAAGAAAACTTATAATGGAATCGGTCAACTTCTTATATATGCAAGATGGTTTGGTCCATGGACCATGGATTACCACAGGAGCCAACTTTGTGTTACAAGTATGTCTTGGAAACGGTCAACTGGTCAATGCATTCCGAGTCAAAATATACGGTCGGCGACAGAGAAGCATTAACTGACAGCACCGTATAAAGAGAAGTTCAGAAATATGTCCTGGTGTCCAATTAGTACGTTGTACATCAAGCACTCTTTACTAGTATGGTGTTTATTTGTGACTTATGCTCGACTTTTGTAAATGCAATCCATTTTGAGTATACTGATGAAACCAACCCAGAAAGCATAAGGAAACTCTATGCATGGCCTAGTGTTATATAAAAATAGCTAATTACGTATGTCATGTGACAAGACTTGACTAGAAGACAAATGACAAGAACGTGTTTGGACAAAGCCTATGCTAAGGAATAGTCTGAAGTCAACGAACCCTCGTGTTCTTTACAGAAGACCAAAAAAAAGAAGAATCTCTCTCTGTGGACGTAAATTGCAGGTTAGATTCCTTTCGAAAATACTAACACAGACCATGAAAATGCCCCGTGTAAGTCATTAAATCCATACACTAGTTCAACTCGCGACCGGTTTAAAGCCGACCAATTGTTGTGTAAATTAAGCTTATGTTCTACGCTATATAGCTGTCCGGCCAAAATGTTTGTAGTTAATATGAATAATGTTACTACCTCTAGGCTCCAATACTTGGGAGTTGGGAAGCATGTAATTGGGTATTACTACATCATATATGCTTTGTTTGTTGTGTTGATCTCATTTTCCAATTGACAAAACTAATGGTGGTTATTTTATCCTTAGTAAAGGTTGAAATTTAATGTATGATGGAGTATATCTGAGCCAAAATTTCGAATTGTACCATGTTCCACTTCTCAGATTGATCCTTACGTTTCAACATATAACTACATGTTGTCCTCACATTTAGAAGAACCAAAAAAGAAAAGAAAAGAAAGTAAATAATCCACGATACGCCCAGGAAATAATCCATTTCGCTTGCTCGTAAACGATCGTAAATTTTCAGCCAGGAACAGTGTTTTTCTCTCACACCAAACCAGCCAGCAGTAAACAATCAACGATACGATACGACCTCCCGAACAGGCTGATGCCTATGCAACTAGGCAATTAGCTAGCTTGTGCAATACTACTCCCTCTGTTTTAAATTGTAAGTGGTTTTAGCTTTCCTAAGATTCATAGATTTTACTATCCATCTAGATATAACGTACATTTAGATGTATAACAAAAGTTATGCACCTAGAGAACCTAAAACGACTTACAATTTGAAATGGAGGGAGTAGTCGTCAATCAATGGTGCTGCTAGATCTGACATATATATAATCAAATCTAAAACCTTTGTTGTGAAGGAAATGAACTCCTATGTCATTTAATGTAGATTTTTCAACACGAATGTTTGGTTGACGTTGTTATAGAAACCATAAAATGCCAATCTTGCAATGTAAAACATGTACCAACAGAATGAGAGTGCACTTACCCCTTTGCCGACCCTCTCGACTAGAGTGTCGTAGCGCATGGAGCCCACTAGCACGTACTCGAACGGCAGCGCGTAGGGCAGCAGACGCACCGCCGCCTCGAACACCTCGATCACGAACCCGCCGGCTACCGTCCGGTTCGTTGCTGGGTCGACGTCGAGGTGCATGATCGGGCGGTAGCCAGGGTCGACGGGCCCCGGCATCGCCACCTGCAGCTTCCGGCCGCTCGTCGGCTGGACCCAACCAATGGGCACGACGGTCGAGTCCGCCGGCCAGATCACCGGCGCGAGCCCGCTGTTCGACGCGATCCCGCCGCGGCCGCGCCCAAGCTGCCTATGCAGTCCGTCCCTCTGCGTCCAGAACCCGATGGCCCGCTCCTTGGCGTTGTCCATGATGTTGACGATCCGGAACGCCGGCACTGCCAACTCGCCGTTGATGAGCTCGAACCTGCCGCCGAGGCCCTCGAATGTAGTTTTTGTGATTGCCGCGAGGAATTTCTCACCGGACATTGACTTCCCGAGCCCGGAGAAGTCGGTGGAGCCTCTCCTGCCGCCGACAAGCCCCGGTCGCGATGACAGGTCACCGGGGCTAAGTCGCTCGGCCGCGGAGGCGATGGCCCATGCGGCGTCGTATGCCCACAGCGCGTAGCATCCCATCTCGGCTTCAGCCAGATCGGCGTCCCGGTGTTGGCGCATGAACCTGTGCGCCCACCGCTTCCGGACGTCGTGCAGGCGCGCGGTGGGCGGCACGTGGGGCGCGAGCCCGATGACGCCCTGCGGCGGGTGGATGGAGCCGAGGAGGCCCGTGAGCCCGTCGGTGATGACCCACGCGTAGCCCTCCGCCATCATCCCGGCCTCCACGGCGGCGGCGAAGACGAGCTCCGCGAGCGCCGGGCGCGCGTGCACCACGAAGGCGCGCGTCTGCTCGGACTCGAGGCGGTACATCGCGGCGGCGACGGCGTCCCTGGTCGCTCCGGCGGGCAGCTCGCAGCGGTAGGGGACCTCCGCGCGCGCCGCCGTGAGCGCGTCCACGAGGAACGGCACGAAGGCGGCGCCGTAGTCGTCGTCCTGGTAGATGGGCACGACGCGGCGCCAGCCGAAGTAGGTGGCGAGCGCGGCGATGGCCTCGGCCTGCCCGGCGTCGCTGAGCGCGGCGCGCACGAAGAAGCGCGCCTCGGAGTGGGACACCGAGGGGCTGGTCGCCGAGAAGGACACGACGGGGACCTCGGCGCGCGTGGCGAGGTCCGCGACGAAGGCGGACTCGACGGAGGACTGCGGCCCCAGGATGGCTCGCGCGCCCTGGGCCGTCATCAGCTGCAGCGCTACACGCACGCACGCGCAAGCGACGAGCGAGAAGACGTCAGGGAACGGAGGCGACGGAGTGGTGGGGTCGGTTGGGGGGACACGTGTCCATACCGGCGGACGCGGCGGCGACGACGTCCCCGCCGGAGTCGTGCTGCAGAAGGCGGACCCGTGCGGAGGCGTTGGGGAAGGCGGCGTAGAAGTCATCGAGCGCCATCGGGACGGTGGTGCTGGCGATCCTGCCGACCGGCGAGTCGGCGTCGATGATGAGCCCCACCGTGACCGTCTCCGGTGGCTGCGCCCGCGACGTGGCCGGGATGAGTGAGGCCAGCAGGCCGATGAGGAAGAACACACGGCGGAAGGGAGGGTGCCAGGCGCGGCCGGCCATGGGTGGAGACAACTCGGTCGAGATGAGATGAGACAAGCGCACAAGGCACAAGGTGGAGCACCGAAGCAGCTTGGCGAGCCTTTGACGACGAGACGGGAATTACCGCGCAGGCGCAGTCGTGGGCGACATGAATGAAAGGTATCTCTGGGTTGTGGGTTCCGTTCCGTACACGCGGCGATGAGGATATTCAGATTGAGATGGGTGCTGACTGGGCCTGAGCATGATTGGGCCACACCACGACGGACATCCAAACCAGGCCTTACCCGTCAGTACTACCGGCCTACAGACGGACACGAGGCTCGCCAGCCCAGGATGACAACATGCATGTTTTATGGCCCGGACTGGCACTCCTTTGGCAGCCCACAGGCGACAGTCTCTTTCTCACTCTGCCAAAGTCATCAGACCATTAATTGCCTGCAGCTGTAGGTATAGTAGCGCCGTCATCCACGACGACGGAACGAGCGACCGAGCGACTCATGCTAGCTCGACTGCGCCCTAGAATTCCCCTCGTGCGAAAGGACAGAGCGAGCATACGTACGGCACCATTCGCAAGTTAAAGTCGCATGGTCCATGCCTAACTAATGGCGTCCCAATTCGTAGCAAAAACGAAGACTTCTGACTTTCAGTTCACTTCGGCGCCATGGTTGCATGCACGGTCGTCGTTCCGAGCTCATCGCCATCGCACGTCGTCCTGCTCTCATTCGGCCAGCCACCATGTCAACCGCGTGCGCTATATATATGGATGCACCAATGGAGCACCGTGTCAATCCCAAATTCCCAATAAGGAAGAGAGAGATGGTGGACTGCAGGAACATCATCATGTCCGTCCTCGTGCTTCTCTCTTCTTGGCTTCTCTTCGTCGGCCGTCATCATCCTAGACTACTACTGGGGCGGGCGCAGAGGCTGACCGCACGTGCTGCAGCTTCGAGCGTCCTGCAGGTCGGGGCGCTGCTCGACCTCGGGTCAACCGGCGGGAGGGAGTCACGGGCGTCCATCTCGCTCGCGCTCGGCGACTTCTACTCCTCGCGGCCGCCGGACGGCTCCAACACCACCGTGGCGCTGCACGTCGCCGACTGCAAGGACGACGAGATCACCGCTGCTTCGGCTGGTATATATACTACGTTTTTATTATCTTGTGCTGTAAATTTCCTTTTGCTAGCGATGACCGCGCGATGCAGACATTGATAAAACGCTGTCAGAACGACTATCGACTACTCTAGTGCGTGATCACAAGCCGTTATGCCAAGGATCGGGACCACTATTAAAGTATATAGCTTCTTTCTCAAAATCGCCATCATTTAAAAAAATATTTTAAAACTATTAAATTCATCTAATTTATTTTAAAAATAAACTAATTGGCTATGCTATGGGCCTTGCCTCTTTTTTTTTAGAAAAAAAACTTTGGTCTTGCCATCTTGGTGTGACTAGGGGATGTTTATTTGGTTCCCAGCCACCATATGCCGCTTTGAAGGCTGCCATAGATGTAACACCCCAGGTGTTTGGCTTCCACATTTGCACTGCATTTCATGAACATGAGCATCATACATCCATTCGTGAACTTATATCACATGAAACATGATTTCGAAACATTGCAACAGGTTTTATATTTCATGTGTATTGTTTCTTTTATGAAATGTAAAGTGTGCAACACTTAAGTGCAACATGTGCCACTCACTTAGTGAAACAAGGTTAGTTAGTACTATGCAACACACTCATGAAACATATGAAACATGGCCTTGAAACAAAAGTAACACTTCACTTGTTCTTCCATGTTTCAATGCCTGTGATGCTAGGTTCTTGTGTGACCAATGTATGGTGTGGCTAATTATTCTCCTAAGAACCTTAGTTATATTTAGAATGTCATTTGGAACATTGTTCATGTTGATCATTTTGCCTAATTAGGTTTCCAAGTCATGGTTGACCAATTTGGACCCCTAGAGCTCCTGTGTTTGACTGTTTAAAAAGTGTAGCTTAGGATGTTTGTATGTCTGAGCAACCTAAAGCAAAGTTGTAGAGAATTATATAAGGAACAAAAGTTATTTTATGACCATCTCATGAAAATGTGCAGAACATGCTCAAATAGGACCCACAAGTCAGCTTTGGAGGCTGATTCAACCTCTGAAAATATTTCTAAGTCCTTAATGCCAATCCAGTTTGATTGAGCTGACTTTGGCTTGATTTTTCTCATGATCCTTTGGGAATTAGGTCTTGGTCATTTAACATAAAGTGTAGCTGGTACTTAGGGCTACAACTTTCATCTTGACGGATTTCACTTTTGAGCAACGAGTTAGCCGTTCCAACGCGATGAAGTTTCGCTGTCAGGCATCGAAGGGTGACTGAATCGACGCTACAGTGACTGTCCGATTTCAGACAATCACCGCCGCGTGGCGCCACTCATCGCCGGTCGCCTGACGCGCACGGCCACGCGCCACGGACGCCCTGGCAAGGCCAGCCACGACGGACACACTCACACGCGCCTAACCGACCAGTGCACAAGCTCAATTTTTCATTTCGTCGCCCCACAGCGCGCAGCAAGCGAGCTCAGCCGCTCCGCCATTGTTGCCGCGAAGCTTCGCCGTCGCCGAGCTCGCGAACCACCGCAAAAACGCGAACTCCGTCTTCACCACAGCTCCGCCGTGTCCTCTACCTTCTCCACCTCCTAGCTGCGCCGTTCGTGCTTTGATAAGGTCACAGTGACCATTTCCGCCGTCACCGCCATGGGCGTGACCTCGCCGGAGATGAGGCCGCCATGGCCGGGGTAGCTAGGAACCGTCCCGTCCCCGTTTCTTTGCCATGTTAGCACCGTGGGGACCTCAGGTAGCTCACACCGTGCTCGGTTGAGCCGGCCATGGGTTGCCATCGCCGACAGCTCGCACCGGAGCTCTGTCGTGCCGCCATCACCGGCGGTGAGCCACCTCCGCTAGGTCGTAGGTCGCGCCACTAGCACCAATCGACTCACCGCATCACGTAGGTCACGTAGGTGTCCTCGGTGTCGCCGGAGGAGTCGCCGTCGACGAGTTCCTCCGTCGCCGCGCCGTCGAAGCCGCCTCCTCTGTTTCTGTGTCTATGACACGCGGGCCCAGCTGACCGGTGGACCCCAGTTGTCAACGACTGAGTATTAGAAAGATAGTTCAAAAATGCAGTTTTGAATGCTGATTTGATATTTTTGTATCTCCTGTTATGTGGATCCAAATTGGGTGGTTCCAATTTTGTTAGATTCACAGTTAGATCTAGTATTTAAGAAAAATATGTCTTGAGCACATTATGTAGAAATTTTGGATGAATTAAATAGGAACTTGAAAAGTGTTTTTGAATGCATGCAAACTTGTTTAAATCATATCTTGAGTTTCTGTGATCCAAAAATTATGAAATTTTGTGGGTAAGCTAGTCTTGTGTAGTAGAAGCTCTTGTTAAAATTTCAGAGCTAGTGCATGTGTAGTTTTTGAGTTATAGAATTTCCTTTCATCATTGGATGATTCTTGGGTGAATTTTAGTAAATTAATTATGAATCCATTGACCATGAAATTTGTTGGAGAGTATCCTAGTACCTTAAGGATGCTAGGAAAAATATAAAATCTATTGCTTGACACTTTTCACTAGGGTTTCCTAATTATGTCATTTTAAGCCATCATGTCTTATCATTTTTGTGTAGGTTGTTATGCTTACTCAAATGGTGTCAAATTTTTATGGTAGTCTACTTAGGGTATGTAGTGTCTACTATAATTTTTGTAGATTTAATGGTTTAGTTTTCATATATGTTTACTATTTCCTCTAATTAATTAAATAAATTAAGAAAGGTATTAAAAGGAATGTTTTGGTGGGGGACACCCTACTTTCTGGTGTTCTTGTGATATGTGTGATATGTGAGTAAAGTTAGTTTTGTCCAAGTAAGTGTTTATATCATAAGTTAATAATTATTTGTTTGCATTATGTCCCTCTGGAGAGATCTGGGGACTTTGGAAAGTTCCCCATGATATTTTAGTTTTCTGTGATTGTGATGAATACAAGAGTTGTAGATAATTTATGTATCTAGCTCCTGTCAAAATTTGAGGGCATTTGGCCTAGTAGTTTAGAAACTACAGCTGTTTAAAGTTAGGTTCCAGTTTTGCTTACTCTCTGCCTTGTAAGGATAGAGTTCTGTTGATTCATGAATTCGACTTGATAAAGTGTTGAATCATGCTTTGAGGTATAAAAATGAATTGTAGACAATTTCATAAGCTTTCCAGATTGTCTTGTTGTATGCCATTTGGAATTATAAATCTCCAGTTATGGCTAGTTTACTGTACCGCTACATAGTCTTCATTTGCTGAAATACAAATGCTTGAGTGTATGTTGTTGCAATGTTCTCGTTGATTGTTTAGGGGGTTAGCCTAACTTGAGAATATGCTTAGGTGCAGGTGCTAGGTCATTAACTGAAGATGAGCAATTATACATTAGGTTGTATAAACTTGGTAAGTAAAGTGATTTGAATAGGGCTTAGGTTGGAATATGCAAACTACAACGAACATGTGCATTCCCCGAGCATCCCTGGCATTCGTTCATGTGCATCCATGATATTTATCTTACGCATTCATGCAATAGGTGTGCCGGAGGGAGTGACGTTGCTGGAGTTCGAGGGAGCCAACCAGGAGGAGGAACCCGAGGTGTGAGGAAGCCGACAAGCGATCGCCATGAGGAATTGCCCGAGTGCCCTGACCACCAGCCTTCCTCGTTCCTGAAAGGCAAGCCCCGGAGCATATTAAGCCTTCCATGTTTTTACAAATACTTTGAGTACCTTTTATTGTTGATGATGCATTAAGTATAGGAATTGGTTGGAACCAATTGCTGCATTATATATCCTTCCTTGTCCAGATATTGCACTGGAATCCTATTTAAGTTCAGGAACGGGTTAAATGCTTAGCCATGCTTAGTGCGGTAGAAGTCAGGTAATTTTTTGTCACCTGCGAGCTTTAGGATGAGGTGGATCACGGTTGGCTATATTTGCTATCATGGAAAAGAACCATGTGAATAATGAATTAAGACCGGGCGGGGTCTTGTGTAGGTTTGAACATAGTGACTCCGTCTGAGTCGTTTAAGGACCGATACGCTGTACGTCCTCATGTCATGTTGAACGTAGCCTAACACTTAGCTAGCCGGATAAGTCGTTTCGACCGCGAAGCCTAGTAGCTCGACTCAGGCCAGGGACGTGAGCAGTGGCGGCATTCTGGAGGTAGTAAGGATGTGCGGAGAGCCATTAGCATAAGTCTAAGGCGGGTTAGAGTCCCGAACAACCTTGGCAGAGTGGTTCTCTGAGAATGTCGATCTGTTCGGACTCGCGACTCCTGAATCGTACCAAAGGTGACTTGTTTGCGACTCGACGGGAGAAGCGGGGTTTGTGTTTAGGAATACCCCCCCATTTGGATAGGAATCGATTGAATCGCCGTCTCTCCGGATAGTGAGAACTTGGTGAGCAGTGACAACGTAGATTCAATTAATTTAACGATATGGTTAAATGGATGATGATGATAAGGTTGCCACAATGAATACCTGATATGGTTATTAATGTTTGCACCCTAATAAAATGATTGCTTAGTACAAGTGCTAATATAGATGACAGGTTAATGGCTAAAAAGTCACTGCTAGTTCAGGTTAAGAGTTAATCATTATTACTTATGCTTTTCTGCAAAAAGAAAGTGTTAGCCAGATCCACTATATTAAGCAATGCATAATCCTTGGTGTCATTTATTTTGGTTTTCGACGAGTAAGTCTAGCTGAGTACATTCCCGTACTCAGGGTTTATTCCCTCTTGTTGCAGATGACCTTCTTTATCAGGGATTCTGTAAGTATTGTCTCCACCCGGCGGGTGATGAAGACTAGATCATGGGCATGATCTCTGTTATCTTCTCTGAATGCTTTTGTGGGCTGTGATCAGCAACCAATATGTGTATTTGAACTCGGGTGTGTGAGTTAAACTATTTGCTTCCGCATGTTTTACAAGACTTGTTTTGTAATAACGATGACTCTGTGATGATGTAATCTATTTGCGAACGTATGCGAAATGTTGTAACGTACGATATGTTATGTTGAATTACTGTGGTCTTGGTTGTATGCAAGTTGGTTTGAAATCCTTCGAGATTTCAGTTGACTACCGGGTTTATATGGGCTCAAGTTCGAGAATTTGATCGTTCCGGCGATTGTTTTTGTACTTGTGCTCTTATAAATTGGTCGGTTCTGTGACAATAGGTATTGTTTCTAAGGTTTGGTTAGTACTTCAGTGTTACCATAACTTTTTCCATGGTTGTGATGCCAGAAATCTCTGCCATGGTCGTGGCGCCGCGGCTGGGTGAGTTCGGGAACCAAACATCCTCTAAATCCTTAACGTCACTGGGTCATTATCTTTGAAAAAAAAAAAAACATCCAGACAAATGCTCAAGAGGCCAAATTGATGTGGGCCCAATCTGATCCAAACAGAGCCCAATGCCCGTTTGAGTCGCTAGCCCGTACAAGGCTAGCTCGCAAGCAGGGACTACAGAGGGGTGTGTCACCGATGGCACGGCAACCACTACTGCTGGGGACGACTCTGCTGATTCAGGCGGTGGCAAGGGAAAAGAGGTGAACACTGATGGAGAGCTGGCGGGAAGGACGTGTGGGCTACTACGTACAAAGAAGCCCAGCAGTCGGATCTATGGGCCGGACTGGATCAACTAAGGGACCCTGCCTGGCCCAAGAATGAGGCAACCCATTGCGGTACCCTCTTGTAAGCGAACAGAGAGCCGGTGAGAGACTTGAACTCGGACTTGTATCTAGACCGTGCCTGAGGGCGACGGCGGTGGCGGCGTACGGCGATCTTGTTGATCGGCCGACGTTCGACCAAGTTTCCACCTAAATATTACCAAACTATCGTCGATCTATAATAGTTCGAATACATCTGGTATCGGAGCCACCTGATCCTTGACCGCTCGCATTTCCGCATTCCATCGATCGTCTTGCAAATGCTTCGGATTCGATTGAGATCTCTAGAGAGCAGTGAACTGCTGCCACTAGAGATTTCTCTGTAATTCCCAAGCACGCAAGTCGATTTGTGCAGAAATCATAGTCCTGGCATCGCATCGATACCTAACCCGACGACAGATGGCCATGGCAACCCCGGAAGAGCAGCCGGGGGGAGATTTTGGCATTGTTGAGCGAAAATTCCAAGGGAATCAATGAGCTCAAGAGTTCGATGTCGGAGATGCAGACTCTGAGGACTGAGATACTCACCTAGAAGCCAGAAGTCGACAACCGCATCCACGAGCTGGAGCACGCGATGTTGGATCTCGACGAACGTGTCGAGCGAGCACTGGGGTCTCTGCCTCCACTGTGGCAATCTCAGGAGTCATCAGAAGGGGAGCAGTTAGGGGCGATCACCTTCCCTCAACCACCGCTCACCACTGCGATTCGGGAGAATCACTTCGCCTCTCCGAGTATCAAGGTGCCGAGCTCCGCTCACCTAGAGCTTCTCCCACCACGGGTGGCATCTGGGTCGTTAGACCATGGCAAGGGATCAACTCACTGGGGTGCTGATTTCGGGGCGGTATACACCATCACCCCAGAAATGGCCCTAGTCATAGGTGCCACACCCCCTCCAAAATCTACTCTTGTTTTGTCTCATACTGATGGTTCGGGGTACTGTGATCGGTGTTACTACCCTCCTTACCCACCCTACCCACCCACTACACCATTTCCTAAGGTTGAATTTCATAAGTTTGATGGCTCGAATCCTCACTTATGGATCAAACGTTGTGAAACTTATTTTGATGTTTACCAAACTGATCCTGGATTATGGGTTCGTTTAGCTACTATGTGACTTGTTGGTTCTACTGTGCTCTGGTTTCAGACGATGCAGACAGCCATCAGTAAAATGAACTAGGACTCCTTTGTTTTAGCTGTCTATAATAGGTTTGATAAGGATGAACACAACCACCTGCTTCGCCATTTTTTCCATATCAAACAAACCACCTCAGTCTCTGAATATGTTGAACAATTCAGTGACCTTGTCCATCAATTATTTGCTCATGACCCATCCTTCCCACCTTCTTTTATTACCAATCGCTTCATGGATGGTTTAAAAAAGCATATACGTGCTGTTGTTATGATGCACCGACCTCAAGATCTAGATACTGCTAGTTCCTTGGTGTTTTTGCAGGAAGAAGCTTCTCAAGACCAACCTATCAAGAGATCTGAATTGGATCTTACTCCAAGAGAAATACTCAAGAGCCAGTGAAACTAGCTTTTCTGTCAGCTCCCAATTCTGTTAGAGCTGTTGAAGATAGAAGGATGATAGATCCTAGTAAGAACAAGTAGTCTGGGGAAGATAAATTATCTGCATTGAAAAATTATAGAAGATCCAAGGGTTTGTGTTTCAAGTGTGGAGAAAAATGGGGACCCAACCATAAGTGTCCTACTTCTGTTTCTCTGAATGCTATAGAAGAAATCTAGAAATGCATTGCTGATTATGATGAAGTTACCAATACACCAGTGGAAGATGAATCAGATTCAGGTGATGATGTGATGGCCATTTCAGCTCAAGCTCTAAATGGCACTGAAGGCTCTAGAACTATCAAGCTCAGGGGTTATCTTCAAGGTAAAGAAGTCTTTATGTTGATCGATTTTGGAAGCTCTAATAGTTTTGTCAGTGATCTAGTGGTAGCAAATATCTCTCGCTGACAGCTACTCTCACAATCTGTCAAAGTCAGAGTTGCTAATGGAGAAGTCTTATCTTGTACTCATGAGTTACGTGACCAGATTTGGGGCACTCAAGGGTATACATTCTGTACTACTCTAAAAATAATTCTACTAAGAGGTTATGACATCATTTTAGGGATGGATTGGTTGGAAACACACAACCCAATGAAAATTCACTAGGTGGATAGATGGTTACAATTCTATTATCAAGATAAGATGGTCACTCTTCAAGGCATTCCTTCTGCAGTACAAATGGGGCCTCCAATCTACAACAATCAATTGGTGGCATTTGACAAAACAGACTCAATTTTGTATCTGGTACAAGTTCAAGTATTAGCAGCTATTGACTCTCCTGAGCAGTCCATACCTCCTGATCTTCAATAGTTACTCGATCAGTTCAAACATGTCTTTGCCCCACCGACAGCTTTACCTCCTCCATGGCCTGGAGATCACTCAATTCCACTCTTAGAAGGTGCTCACCCATTTTGCCTGTGCCCATATAAATACAACCCTACACAAAAAGACAAAACTGGAAACTCAAATTGCAGATATGCTAGAAAAGGGGTGGACACAGGCCATCACCAGTCCTTACTCCTCTCCTGCCTTGTTGGTGCGCAAGAAAACAGGAGATTGGCGCTTATGTGTTGATTTCAGAAGACTGAATGCACTCACATAGAAAAACAAGTACCCCTGCCTATAATAGAGGAACTTCTAGAAGAACTTCAGGGCTCTTCTTGGTTCACATCTCTAGATCTCTGTTCAGGGTTTCATCAGATAAGAATGGCAGCTGGTGAAGAGTTTAAAACTACATTCCAAACTCACAATGGCATTATGAGCATATGGAGTCACAGGAGGACCAGCAACTTTTTAAACAGTCATGAATGTGATACTTGCTCCTTTACTTAGAAAATCTGTTGTTGTGTTTATAGATTACATTCTCATCTATAGTAAGTCTTGGGAAGATCATCTCTTACTTATCAAGGAGGTTCTCACTATACTGCAATAGAACCATTTCCATGTAAAGATGTCCAAATGCTCATTTGCCAAGCAACAGTTGTCTTACCTAGGACATATTGTGAGTGGCCAAGGAGTTGCTACTGATCCTTCCAAGATTGCCTCTATCAAGGAATGGCCCCAACCACAAAATCAAAAGGACCTAAGAAGTTTTTTAGGCATGGTGGGCTATTACAGAAAATTTGTTTCACAGTTTGGGCTGCTGTGCAAACCACTCACTAATCTTCTAAAAAAGGAACACTGTTTGTATGGACATCTGAAACAGAAGCTGCATTTCAAGCTCTCAAGAAAGCACTTATTTTTTCACCTGTCCTTGCCTTACCAAATTTTTCCTTACCATTTATAATTGAGACTGATGCCTCAACTAAAGGCATTGGTGCTGTTCTACATCAACAAGGACACCCCATTGCATATGTCAGCAAGGCATTAGGGATGAAGGCTCAAGGACTATCAACCTATGAAAAGGAATGCTTGGCCATTTTGATGGCAGTTGATCACTGGCACCACTACTTGTAGTCTTCTTCTTTCACTATACTCACAGACTAGAAGAGTCTCATTCACTTAGATGACCAGAGGCTGGCAACTCCTATTCAACACAAAGCCCTAACCAAATTGATGGCTTTATCTTACTAGATTGTATACAAAAAGGGTGTGGATAATAAGGTGGCTGATGCCCTCTCCAGAGTATCTCAAGCTCCTTCTTATGATATCTCTGCCATCTCAATGGCCAGACCCCTTTGGTTACAACAAATTCAAGACTCATATACTGCAGACCCACAGGCTGCCAAGTTACTGTCTGAATTATCTATCTCCTCCCCTATTGGACTTCATTCACTGAAGGATGGTATCATCAGATACAAGGAGAGGATTTGGGTGGGTTCCCAACCAGTTCTACAGTCTAAGATTTTATCTTCATTACATGCAAGCGCCATTGGGGTCATGTCGACATGGAATTTTCGTCCCGTGCCGAGGACACACGCAACAAGCCAGAAGGGTCTACTCGATGGAGCAGATCCACCTAGCTTCAGCGCAGGGATGGTCGATCCTGCGCGTTTCTCCCGAGGCGTGCCAGTCAATTTGACCCTGTAATTGACAAGGAGAGAAAGTTCAACAGTAATTAAGGGTGGAACTTGCCGGTGTTGCTAGACAGTCCCGAATGTGCGGCTATAAAAGCCGATATGAAAGAAGATCGACTAAATAGCCGATTCCAGCATATTCATGAGAATAAATTAGTTAAAGCTCGTGGGGGTGTGTAAGAAGAATCGGTTATCATTCATGATAAATATCGTTATTTGATCAAATATGAATCAATGGCAATAAGATATCAACAATAATCGGTCCATGCTGAGCCAATGATTACAAGTAACTGAACCCCTTTTATATAAAGAAACAATTCAACGCCATTTAACCGTTTGATAAAGATAAATCTAATGAACATGTTAGATCTCATCTATTGCTATGACCAGTGGGGCATGAGGCAGAATCATGCAGGCCGTAATACAATAATAAGATCATGGGGCTAACATATCTTTCAACCTATCTTTACTTCAACGGTCTCATGATGCGAACTGTTCGTGACAGCGCTCGATATCATCTAAAACAGCCGATTCAGACATAGCGTACAGTTAAAGTCATGCCTTATCAGGAATAGATTTACCAGATAACGGTCCCCACTCTATGGTGCTAACAGTGGGGTGTGAGACAGAATCACACAAGCCGTGATAACGGGCCATGGAACGGTTCTCACTAGCCAATAAACCTACTCAAGACGCAACATGCCTTAACCGCACGCTATGCACGATCAGGATTGACATAAAACAGCCGATAAAACATAACTCATCGTTTAAGGTGTAGATTACATCAATTTGAGGTTAGCAAACGATGGGCTAAACAAGATATAAGGCCGATTTAGATCAATCCCAATCGGGCAGAGTGATATTGCTGTAATTAGATAAACAATAAAAGCAATAAGCAATATCGGTAACTTAATGAATCTACCAAAGACTGACATTCTAAGGTAGAGTCGATAACTTGACCTTGATCTAATTCAAGCAGTGGGGTGTGAGGCAGAATCACATAGGCCATACTTGAATTAGACAAGAGTCGATAACTAGTTTATACCAGAGCCACAGTGGGGGTCGACTGGATCGATGCAGCCATACGAACAGAGGTATAAACCATGACGGTACTTACAACAAGCAATGGAGGTCAACCGGATCGATGTAGCTATACTTGCCGAAGAACTCGCCGAGATCTACTCTACTCCTACTCCTAAGGGGTGGCCGGAGCCGAAAAAGTAATTGACTTGTATTTGATTGATTTGTTGTCCTTTACAATAGCTGGGGTTTGGTATATATACCCGGGACCTACGCACGACTCCTATCTAAGCACGACTCATCACAAATTTTGACTCTAAAGAAAACATTCCTAATTTAAGATAACTTGGACTCTAATCTTTCCCTTTTTGCAGAGTCCTACATGTTTCATCCTGGCGCCGAATCATAGCCTTCGTCGTTATCCGCTGGCGATATCCAGAGAAAGCCGATTCTAGTTTTTGGCATCCGAATCAGCCGGTTCCGATCTGCACGCAATTGATTCCTTGACGACATGATTTTGGGAGCTTTCGAGTCCCTGCAACTCTTCTTCCATATTTTGGTGTAAACACATGCCCCCTAATTTTGGGATAAAACTAATTTTATTCCAAAATTATCATGCCTGTATCCCGGATTGGTCCACAGTCACGGGTAGAGAACCTTGATCTAGGGTCCACGGTTTGTCGCCGCTTGCATCCACCCATGAGCCTATGCCTCAAAACTTTTCACAAAAGCGTCACTGCTTCCGGGTACTTGGATTCATCTTCCCGGGCCGGCTATAAAATGCCTATCCGACCTTGGCGAGAGCAACTCAACAATTCAGCCATGTTTCTCCTCTACCTGCCTCCTCGAGTGTTCTCGACTCCGCTGGACCCTCCAGGGTCTATCCTTCTGCTATGAAGATCTTGAGCGGTTAGAAGAATTCTTGTGCATAAGGTGATTGTGTCGCTCATTCTAGCGCCTTGTCGAGCAAGAGAATCAGCTACTGCGGCTAGAAGAAGTCATGTGACATCACCTGTGTCTTCTCACCATGCTCACAGAGCTGTTCTAGTGTTTGCAAGGCCTAAAATGTGTGGACACCTTTCCCTTGTTTGTTCCACTAAACGCCCACCGGGAAAGCCATATGCTTCTTTCCCATAGTTTCTCGTTTTATCGAGAAATCGGCTGAGCACATGCTAGGCGGGCGATTTTCCTTTTCTCGGGCACAATTTTATCAGCGGGCCAATGTCGATTCGTTTCACGACGACCTTCAGCCTTGTGGGGGCCCAAACTCCCATCATTTCAAAGAAGCCGTGATAGGTTGATCTCTGGTCTATGTAAAATCTTCGAATCCGTTTCATGATATTTTGTAATTTGGGAAAGCAATAAATTTGAATATGTTATCTCTTTGTTATCCATCCCCTGAAATCCCAGAGTGTTGTCCTGCTTCCGT